AAACAAGGAACTCATGCAATATTATTCAAAATGGGTGAGCCTGAAGGACATTATGCTGAGTGAAGTATCTCAGTCACAAAAGGACAAATAATGCATGGTGCCACTGTTGTAAAACAGGACTGACCTTGGGGTTGGGGAGAGACTGAGAAAGATGGGTTCAAAAATGTATACTGCACTGAAACAGAGGAGGGAGAAAACTGTTTAAAAGGGATATGTGATTAGGGATTTTTGTCATGACAGGAGTCCAGAACGAAGGCTACACGGTGGAGTGGACCTGGGGGGAGGGTTTGTAAAACAATGAAAGATTTTTTCTTTTACTTTTCCAAGAGGGGAGAAAAGTGCAACAATGAATGAACGGAAATTTTTTTAAAAATTTGCATATTCAAACGCACCTCGTGGTCAGGCAGTGATGGTTACTGTTATCACTGGTAACAGGAGCCCTTGTGGGGCAGTAGTCAAAGCACTTGACTGCTAAGCCAGAAGTTAGCAGTTAGAACCCACCTACTGTTGTGCTTGAAAAAGAGAATGAACGTCTACTTGTTAGAGACCACAGCCTTGGAAACCACGTGGGCACTTGTGCTCTGTCCTAGAAGGCTGCTTCAAGTCCGAACCAGCTCGACAGCACTGAGCTGCACCTTGGGTTTGGTTATTAGAGTTTGATCAAGTAAAGGCTGGAATGCAGGACCCATGCCCAGTCTGTAAAATGAAGGGAAGGGGTCACCTTTATTCCCTCCTTTGTGCAAATGATCTCAGTTTCTCTGTCGCCTCTCCTTGTGTCCCCAGGTTCCGAGTCACCGTGGAAATAACGAAACCAGAGAAGCCAGACCAGAGCATCACCCTCAAGGGCCTAGATTACATTGATGTGCTGTCCGCCTCCAAGAAAGATTACAAACTCAACTTCTTTTCCTACAAGGAGGGATTGTATGCTGCAAAGGTACCACCTGTAAAAGTCGCTGCCGAGCCCGGGCCCTGAGGCAGACAGCCTGGTGTGAGGGAGCATAGATGCCCCCCCCGCCCCGCCCCCGAATCAGCCTGTGCTGAGTGTCTTCAGATACCACGTGCTATTGGGTTGCCAGTCAGATTGACCAGTTAGGGCCCTCCGCCCGGGCAAGGGCACACAGGATTCTTAGAATCTTTTCCTGTCAGCCAGGTCTGCAGGACCATGTAAGCCAGGACAGGCTTTCAAGACAGCAGAATCCTGAGAACTCTTAGGCAGTGGCGTCTTAAACACCAGCTGATGAGGGTGCAGGCACAACAGTTGGTCTCTAGTTGTCTGAAACAACAGAAGAGGTAATAGTGTCGGAAACAGGAGTAGATAGGAAGTGTCCTGGCTGCCTCCTTTGCCAGGAGACTCGTAGCTGCAGGTGCTCAGGTTCTGCTTCTGACCTTTTGGATCAACGAGCCCTTGGACGAATCTTAATTGAAAGGGAGGGAAAAACATAGAACGGGATTTAAAATGCTCACGGACTTTAGACTTACCAGTGTCATGGAGGATAGCTTAACTCCTAAAACAATTGTCCTGAAATAATCGTTAAACTTTAAACCAAAAAGACTCCCTGAAGTCATCTTAAAATCATATGGCAGGTTAACCTGACTAGTTTTTCAGAAATCCAACTTGAGCTTTATGCTCTTTTAAGAACTATGTATATGGAATCATTTGACAACAGCAATTTGAAAGAGTCTGTAAAAACCTTGTGGGGCAGTGAATTAAAGGGAGTTAGAACGTTTGCACAACTGGAAGAATTGAGGCAATGTCCCTGATTGTAGAAATGCTTGAACTGTTTTGCTTTGTGTATTTTCAACAATAACAAAATAAACATAATTCTTCTTAAAAAGAGGAACCTTGGCAATTAGGTGACCCTGAACCAGCAAACATCAAATCACAACCCAGGGTCCTGTTTTCTGAATATTGACAATGTCACAGCCATCATGCTTAACATTCAGGACACACAGATGGTAACGTCAGAACAGGACTTCAGCTCAGCCATCTCCCAGCCCCTTCCCCGGGGTCCTCCCCACAAGCCATCTCCCAGCCCCTTCCCCGGGGTCCTC